CCCACAAACCAGACACTATCGACATCGTACTTGCTCGCGTGAAGCCGCCATGTTGTTCGAACTTCGAAGTACATGTACATGTACATAATTATAATACCAAGGCTATAAATATTTAAGAAGATTGTACATTTGCATACAACTGCCACACCCCCATTCCTGCAAGATTCCCAAGACGTTCGTGGGAGTAAGTGAAATCTAGGTGTGCGAGGGCGCTCTTCAACAGAATTAAAACGACCATCGATCACTGACGTCTCGGGCCAAGACTAAATCGGACCGGGTAGGTGCAGGACGAAGTTGCTATGGTTCACGGACGCTTTGTTGCTGCTGCTGTAAAACAAGTTCCCGAGGATCACACAGCAGTTACAGCAATGTCTGACGAGGTATGGTGGGTGTGTAGGTTATGATAATTATATATAGGGGCAATCCTTAGGGTACATCTCTTAAACATGTTAAAATACAGCCTGTGAGTGTGATGACCATAACGAACATGGAACGCCCCAACTATAGCATCAGTCCCAACTATAGTTGGGCCCGTCCCAACTAGAGTGCTACAGTTGGGCCGGCCCAGCTATAGCAGAGAGGTCCTGTGTGCATAATGTTCCCAGCATGTACCAAAGTCATATTGTTTACAAATATCATGTCATTGGTCATACTAGGGCTAAGTGCCACATTTTTTATAAAATGTGTCAAGTATGAGACACATTGAGTTGAGTAATGTTGAGACATTTCCCACAGACATTGGTCAACAATAGTTGGGCCAGCGCAACTCCAGTACTACTGTTGGGACTGTCCCAACTATAGTTGGGACTTACACTATAGTTGGGGCGTAACAGAACCATGCGAACTGGCTCATAATGTTAGGCCTACACGGTTAATGTTACATTGTATTGTAATTTGTAGGACTCCACAAGTTGCCCTTTTAATATTTAAAGGGAAAGAGTTCCACCAGTCACTGCATTAGTTCATTATCTCAGTCACAACCAAAGTTCTATTTTGAGAGGTTTAACAAAAATGGGAAAAAAATTGACATGATATCCTACAACATCATGCTCATTCCATCATAATTTTCATAGACCTACCCCAGTTTTATTTCAGGTCTGGTTTTAAAATTCACCCAAAGGTTGATTATGCCAAGCATGGATAGCTTACTTCTAAACTAATTGTAAGAGGCTTCAGAGACAGAGGATGCATTCTGATCCCAGTGTATGTTGATCAAGGGCAGGCCTGTCTGATATCCCATCCATTAGTTATTCTCAACAAATCTTGGTTCTGAACTTCATTTACTGTATTGTAATTTCTTTTGTTTCTTCAAAGAAATGCTTGCCGATTGTTCCAGAGCATCATGGGTTGTAGTTCATCAATTCCGATAAACAGTCCTGAGACAACTGTAAAGACTGCAGAGGTCAAGAAGATTGACAGTCATCCTAACTTCAGAAATGAAAACAAACAAGATAGAACATCAGGGGCTGAGGCCACTCCATGTGATACTGAAGAAGTGGAGAATGTGAAAACCAATTATAGGGGGTCATCCTCAGAAAAGCCAAACAGAGACAGCAGTGCTGTCCATAAAAATGTAACCAATCATCCTATTGGACAAAAAGGTAACGCAAATGCTGGACCAGGAGAAGAGGACCAATCAAATGAGTTGTCAGGTGTTGGTGGTGGTAGGCATGGAGTTGTGACATCATTACAGTCATCTGGAGTATCAGGTAGGCCTATAGAAACCCCTTCCAGAGAAGATTGTTGCGTACTGCAGTGTTTAAGCTAGAATTTAGTGAACTGGCCGTACAAATAATGTACATGTAGGCTACATATAGTGTAATTCGACAACTAGAAGTAGAAGCCACTGCAGTGATGCAATGCTCATGGACAGGTGGTATGCACCTGTTACATGTCTCTTTGACCAATAGGGTGTCGTGATTTGCCAAATGCTTGTGCACATCAAGCTGAAGAATGCGTGTGAGTGTGGTGCCACCGCGGTTATGGCGTCCAATCTGATTAGTCTGTATATGTTGGGCATGATCAGTGGATCGGCACTGTCGTCCGATGTTGCGACATCAGTTGATATTACATTAACTCTTTAACTAGACTCCCCACTTCTGTCATAGTTTCCCCCAACTGCAGAGCAAGAAAAAACGGCGATTGGCTCATGGCAGAACTATCTGCGACTTGTGCAATAGGATCGACATATCATGAAAGATCCAGCGATCACATGCATCAACCAACTGCTCCCAACTTGAACATATACATGTGCATTTACAATTAAAAAAAAAAATATTTTAAAAGTTATTGTTTGAAACATATTTCTAAAACTGTTTACCTTAAATAAATTTTGGGGAATTGCATTATGGTGCTGTGACAGGAATTTGTAAATGTACATATCTCTAGTTTTGTTCTACTTAAATTTCTAAACATGGATTCTTAAATGTAGTTGGTCTGAAGTATTGCACAACCTTGATTTAATCATATTTTTCTGTGCTTGGGCAAAAAAGCAGCTGTGTTTTCAAAAAAAATCACTGTGCAAATCTTGGCTGCATGGCTACCTGCCTGTTTGGGTACAGTCTAATCATTCAGACAAACAGACTTCAGAACGAGATATATTAAGCCGGTGTTCAACACCTGAACCTGTGAATAGAATTCAAGAAATTGAGCGTTGGAATGTTTTACACACTGTAGGTACCAGTACTAATGGCTGCAATGGCGTTGATGACGGTAACATCCGGGGCCCTTCAGTGAGTGATATCCATATAGGAGAGAACCAAATCACTAGTGCATTACATACCATCGATGGAGACGATGGACGAAATAACGTTGTTCAGTCAGCTGAACAAAGCACGGAAGATGAGAAAGAGAAGGCAGAAAGTTATTTATGCAACAGAGATATTGAATTAGATCAGACAGACTGCAAAGAAGACCGTGATGCATTGATATCGGACTCTTATTTTCCACGTCTGGACATTACCAATGAAAATCAAGCAATGCTGCCAAACCAAACATTGAACCCATGTGCCAGCAAGGAGGCATTTAGCATTGACCAATCACAGTCACCGATGCAGGAGGTGGGAGATGAGTTACAGGTGCACCAGGCCAAGTTCAGTCAGGGTCTGAGGAGCTACTGCAGGCTGGTTGACCCCAAGGAACTTGTAGGACTTGCTCACCCTCACATCCACAGCTTAACCTTGGAGAGAGCCCCAGCTGGCTTTGGATTTCCCTTCACCCAGTTGTTGATGAGACTCACTGGAATTACTGTAAGTACATGAAGTAAATCTAGTCTTTGTTGAAAAAAACTGTATCAAGGTTTTAGCTTGTCTTGACATCTCATGAACACCCCATTGGCCATTTCTTCACCCCATTGTATAATGCACGACTCCTCAATCAATGTTAAATCTTTATCTTTGGTTAAAATCATGGTCCATGAAACCCTTTAGGTTATAATGAATTTTTTAGCATGATTTCACAATAAATAGATTTACTTCTTTGCTAAACAATGCACAGGCAAAAAACTTTAACTTAAATTAAAGAGCAAGTCCATGGTGTTGTGCATGCTGTGCCCATGCTAAATGGAAGTTTGACCCTTAAAGACATAAATTTCCGTGTTTTTCATTCTCTTGGCCATCTGCATGGAGAATATCCACAAGAATATTTTATATTATCAATAGAATTTCTTATTGAGTAATTAAACCAAACATGGAATTATGTTTGGGTGCAAAAAGGGGGTCTTTTCATGGACTAACCCTAAAACAAAAACATAAATTGCTGTAAATTTAACCGAGTAAGTAATTCAAGGTGAAACAGATTAACGAAGAATAATGTAGGGGTATACAGGTTGCTACTTTGCTTTGGATCAAAGACTAAGCTTTCAGAACATGAAAGCTGTGCTGTATGTGCTTAGAATATACTGATTTTTTTTCTCGCAGGAGCTCAATATATCCGGGAACCAGATTGGTCCTCAAGCCTTCCGAGTCATCACTCTTGCCATGAGTCACAACAGGACCATTACATCTTTGGACATCTCAAACAACCAAGCTGACACAGATAGTTCAGTGAGTTTGTTGGAATGCCCTCCAGAAAAAAATGGCTCATGAGAAGACGCTTTGCAGCTCAAATCAATCGGAGCTCTGGCTTATCACTTAGTGAAGTTGACTTTGATGTAATCTCTTGGGTTTGTGAGATCTTTCCTTTATTCTTTATTCCTTTCCTTAACATCATTGATCCAAAGACAATTGGAAATATTTTCCCCTTTGTACAGCATTGTAATATAGAATTCATGTGAGGATGGATTTGGGAGAAAAATGTAGCTGTGAGAAAAACATTGCACATTAATTCTGTGGAAAACCTATGCAATTAAATTGGGACCAACAAACTCAATCAATACGATGTAGAGCCCACCACAGTAAGATTCATACCCAAGATTTACTTGGTTAGGAATAACAGACAAGTACCTATATGCTGGCCCGACCAGTTTGATCTTTATCATGTAGGTTTGAACTGAAATTCTTTTTTACCGTTCTTGTATACAGATTTTTAGCATTCTTTTTTACAGGAATGCCTTGGGAAAATGCTGAGTATAAATTCCACCTTGGTGAAGCTAGATGTCTCCAGCAATCAGCTGGGTAGAGATTATTTCTCTCGTTGCATTGGACCTCCACTAGGCAGCAACAAAGCCCTGAAGACTCTGAGGTAACAACTACCATTCAAAAGATACAGCGCAAATGGCCTATTGCTGGCAAAGAGGCATTTAAGTCATAGAGATTCATATTAAATCCACAGCTGCTATAACATAGTACATGTACATTCTACACATTAAACATTAAGTGTAAAAGATTGAAGAATAAGGTAATCATGATACTTAACAAAATAAAAAAATTAGTAAGTGCAGACCAGAACAAGAAAAAGATAAACAATGAAATACTTTTTCATTGCTCTCACAAACACAAAGGTGTGGAATTTAAAGGGACTTCAAATCTAATGGAGAGAAAAGATAAAAATGTGTTACAAGATGAGGCACAAAACAGATAAAAGATATGAAAGATTTTATAAGAATTAGAACCTTCATGTATAAATCCCAGGAAAATAATGAGTACAAACAAAAATAAGTGAACCGAAATACTCAGCATAAAATAAATATCAATAAAAATGTTAAACAAACTGATAAGAATGGATCCATAATAAAAAGATTCAAAAATATTCATAGCCTACAAAAAAGGAGATAGACGATGCCAGGCCTGAAGCTATTCGTTGAGGTCCCAACATGGGCTGCAATGCAGCGACTGTAATGCAGATGGGAGAGCTCTGAGAATGGTCGGATCTAGAGCACCTTACATGAAATGTCAAGTTCCCACTCATACTGGTTCATCTTAGAATCACTAAACATCTAAAAGAGATCCATTCCACATGGTGTACACTCTAACTTTCTCTCAGATGATATTCCATAGCACTGGGCTTTCTCTGAAGAGATCCATTCCACATGGTGTACACTCAAACCTTCTCTCAGATGATATTCCGTAGCACTGGGCTTTCTTTGAAGAGATCCATTCCAAATGGTGTACACTCTAACCTTCTCTCAGATGATATTCCATAACACTCTTTCTTTGAAGAGATCCATTCCACATG